GCCCTTTCGGCGGACCTCTGTGCGAAAAGGATTGACAATGCCAACGATTTTTCCGGCATTCCCGGTCATGTCCTCCTCGGCTTAGGCTCTAATACAACAAAGTGTATTTTAATATGTTAAACGCATATGGCCATTGAAATCGCATTATCCACGTTTCTCTGATTCGCTCCGGTCCAGCCTTCGCCCCTCCTCCGCAAACTCAACATTTTTAACATATTGACATACCCAATTATTGGACTTAGCTCCTTCGCATGCCCAGGCCACATACCACAACAGGCTTATCCCCAAAATTGCCGACCAAAGCAGCTGACAAGCCGCACATTTGCCTTTCTACTTTGACAATCCCGGAGCGAGGCAATTGCAGCTGCAGATTAATGGGATCAGAGTGGATTCCTAATGCTCTCAGCCATGTTGGCCCAGGACCCATTGAAGTTGTCGAGGCTCAAGCATCCTCATCTCCTGATACTCTCCTAATGTGATCAAGTGTTTGTTAGGCTATCTTAGTGTGGACATACAGCAAGGCCAGGCCTCGTGTGTGCTCTCCATTGGAATGCTCTCCACATTTGTAGATGGGGCAGACGCAATACCTGAGCAAGCAGCACTGCTCTGAGATGAAGATGAGACTCATTCTCTAGCTCGACGGACATGGCATTGCAATTTTGCTAAGATATAGGGAAGGTGAGGTCGTTGTATGGTAGTAAAGGTTCCGTTCACTTCGTACTTCGCATAAGTCAATTTATCGTTCTCCTTTGGTCTATTTCTCGCTCTGATTCTAGTTCTCCCTTTCTCTCTCTGCTTTTGCATCTGTCCTTGTCTTTGTGTCTGTTACTCTCTCTCTCTTCATCTTCTTCATCATCATTTTCAGTTTTCTGCCTATTTGTCGCACTCTCTCCTTAATTTTTTGTTCTCTCTAATTCTATGTGCTCTGTCCCTCTTCCTCACATCTACCTCTCTCTCTTCCTGCCTTTCTGCTTCTACGACTCTCTATTTTCTATGTTGCTCTGTACCCACTATGTCTTGTCTCTCTCTCTCTCTTTCTTCCTCTAGTTCTCATTTCTTTTCTTCTTGATACCCTATCTCACTTAGTCACTTTTGATCTCACTCTTTTTTCCTTCTCTTTTTCGCTCTCAGACTTTTTCAGTCTATCTCACTCTCTCTGTCTCTGTCTCTATCTTCAATTTATATTTTCCTTTGTCCCATTTTTTATGTTTTATTCTCTCTCTCTCTCTTTCTCTCTCGCTCTCTCTCTCTCTCTCTCTCTCTCTCTCTCTAGTTCTCTGTTTATTTCGTTTTATCTCTCGATATGATAGGAGAGTAGGGATTAGGATCCCTAGATCTCTCCTTCTTTAACACTTTAAAATTCGCTATATCTCCATCTCTCTCCCTCCCTCCTTCGCTGTCTCACTCTGCTCTCTATCCACTCTATGTGACTCTGCTTTACTGGGCAATTCCAATTGAAAGCCTTCCCGCCTGCCTTATATCCTGGGCAAGGTGCAAGCGACAGTTGACAGTTTGCAGTGCGGCGCGTTCGTGTTGAACAAACAATATTTTCTATGCGCCGCTGATGAATGTTGACGGTGCACGGCTGTGTAATTATTCAGAGGCACATTGGATTGCATAATTTCAGGCGCCATGCGTAGGTGCCTAGGTGTGCCTTGTGTCTACACACAACCAACATCCATGTATGTGTGTGTGTGTGTAGATTGAAGTGATAAAGATTTGGCAAATAGACCAGCTGTGTGTTTGTGTGTTTGTGTTTGTGTGTATGTGTCTGTGAGTGTGTGTCTGTGTGTCGCAAACATCATCTACACGAATAATTAAACCCGAAAAATGAAACTTGATTAATTTAATATTTACCAAGAGCTGCTCTCTCTCTTTCTCTCTCTCACTCACTCACTCACTCTTTCTCTTTCACTCTGTGTCTCATGTGGTGTTCTCGTCTCTTTCTAAGCAAGGAAACGTGCTTTAGCACTCGCCAAAACTTGTCTGTGTGTGTCTCTGTGTGTATGTGTGCGTGTATGAATTTCAATGTTTGTTTAGCTAATAAATTTTCGGGCTAAAGTAATCAAATAATTGCCAAATGTACGAAAAACACAAGAGCATAAGAATATGGCTTGTTTTATTGCCATTTTATTTCGCAAAATTTACGAGCGGCCAAGACTTTCGGTAGCCTTTTATATCGTACCAATGAAAGCAGCTACAACAACAACAGGAACTACAGCAACAACAGCAACAACAATGCCAATAACAATAATAACAACAGTAACAGCAATAACAGGCAACTTGGAACTTGGAAGTTGAAGCAAAATAAAGTACTACTAGTTGGAGTTGGGCAAGTGGAAGCAGAACAGCATCAGAAGCCAAACTCAAGCCCCGAGTCATGTAACCGTATATTGATGACGATGTTCCTCTAATGATGCCGCTTGACTTGACAAATCGCGACTGGGACAGAAATAGAGAAATGAGGTCGAACGACTGAACAATTAACTTTGGAATTTGCCCCCGAAGTTGCTTCATTTCAGCTTCGAAGGAGAAAAGGCTTAAAGTAAATTCAGGCGTGGAGGTAAATTAAAGAGAGAGAGAGAGAGAGAGAGAGAGAGAGAGAGAGAGAGAGAGAGAGAGAGAGAGAGAGAGGGAGAGAAAGACAGAGAGAGGAAGATAAAGGGAGAGAGAAATTTATTATTATTATTATTATTATTATTTTTTTCAATATTAAATTCCATTAATCTATAAGAAATTTCATTAGTAAAACATTGCGAAGAAGAGTATCGAAAATAGCCTTTCACTCCGTAGCCTTCTGCTATATGCTACGAAATATTTAAATTGAATCAAATTCATCGATCTATCGTTAAGCTGAATATCAACCGATACTATCGATTGTGCCAAGACACATCGCTTGCACAAGGCTGTATACAAAGGTTGTATACTTTATACACCTTATATACATAATATATACACATATATTGAATATATACCTTCTGTACCTTATATACCCTTTATATCTTACATAACTTGTATATTTGATATACCTTATATACCTTCTATACCTCATTCACCTAGGGTATGACCTTCTACATGCTCAGCTTGCAGCGGCAGTTGACCAAAGTTCAATTCCCACTGGGCGTATTATTGAGCTATAAAGTGCTCAATGGCTGTTAAGGGTCGCTCCGCCTCTCAGTCCACACCTCTGACCATTTCATAGTTTATCCTTTTTATGGCCGAGTCATAATGACAATGGCTATCAAAATTAAGCCTCAGGTAAGTGGCAGCACTTACTTCTCGGCTGCCCAGCGAGCCTCACAGTTGGACATCCTTTCAGTCCGCAATTGCTTCGCTGTTCATATGCTCTATACAAGCCTAGTTTCAGGTCTTAGCTATCTATAGCTGTTTATAACTATCTATATCTGAGGTCTACTGGTAACCAAAAGGCTGCTAACTTATAGCAAATATATATATGTAAATATCTAAATCTTGTTCAATAAAAAAAAAAAAAAAAAAAAAAAAAAAAAAAACAAAAACAAAAATAAAAAAATGTATATAAAAAGGAAATACATGTATAACGACATATATATTTGCCCTTCATATATACTGATATACTATTGTATCAAATATAACTTTTTTTTTATATTTTTTAAACACCTCAAACTAATCGCAGTCAAAAAAAAAAAAAAAAAAAAAAAAAAAAGGAAACCAAAAAAATCAAGATGTTATATTATTTTGTCGCTCAAGTCGATATCTACATATACATACATATACATATGTATATATAGATTTTGTTAAAGTTTACACAAGAGAAATTGATTACACCGAACTATGGGCATGTGGGCGTATCTTTGGGCATGGCTCTGGTAGGTGGTAGGGGGGCGTAACATAAATAAAAGTCTATTTAAGCGTATCGCTGTTGAAATTGTGTCATGAACTCCGGCAAAAAGAAGACGCGACACAACACAATCTTATGCTTTTACATATGTACACACACACACACACACACACACACAGATAACAAAGAAAGTGAGTCTGTCGGACGGTCGCTCGGTCGCTCGGTTGCTGGGTCGCTGAGTCGCTGAGTCAAAGGAGCGTGTCGTATCTACAATCAGTTTCAGTCTACCAAGCGCTGCCATATAAAATTGTTTTGAGCAAAAATTACAAATTCCACAACTAACGTGACAGCGTCCCAAAACACCGCCCCCCCCCTTCACCCACCCCTTCTCTGGTTGGGCTTGGCTGGTCCAGTGGCGTTTATCGAAATACCGCTCCCGCATATTGTGCTTATATAGTGACCCCTTAGCCACGTCCCTGTCCCTGTCTCTATCCCTGTCTCTGTCTCTGTCTCTGTCTCTTTGTCCTGCTGTCCGAAATGTGTACAAAATACCGCTTCTGTCCACGTTGGCCATCTTCATATATATACATACTAATATATATATATTAGTAGTAGTATGTATACATATATATAGTGGAATATAGCATGGTATATGCAGCATATTCCACCTCCTGCTCGGCTCGCTTTGTGCTCTGTTTTGTGGGCGTGACCACAAATGTTTTGAGCCACTGTGTGTGTGATTACGTAAGTGTGTGTGATTACGTAGCACATGGCCAGCGGCTGGAACAACAACAATGCAAGAAACTTAATGCCAACAGCAAAAATAATGAAAGTATTTGCTTTGCTAAGC